TTTTTCTGTAAAACATTTCTGATACCTCCATTTTAGAGAAAAATGGTTCAAATAAAAGTGGTAGAACTTAAAAAGTTCCTTAATTTGCGAGTTTCTAAATTAAAATTTATAAACAATTGAGATAACGGCAATAAACCCTTACTTTTGCACTAATTTATAAATATTAGTAACTCTAGAGGATTCTTTGAGTCGTCAATTTTAATATACCTATATTAAAAAACCGTTTAAAAATAGCTGACTTTTAGATTATATACATTTATAATAACTTATATTTTTTATGTTACTCGCTTGTAAGTAGGCTCAGTGAAGAGATGGTAGAAAACGCAATATCTAAAAAAGAAGAATCTTGTATGACTAATAGGAACAAAGATAACAATTTTTGTCTTAAAATCGTATTTGCATTGTTTATTAACATTAAGAGCTGAAAATTTAGTAGAATATAAACGAAGATCTAAATTTTAGGATCCATTTTATAGATGACATATACCGACAAAGACTAAAAAGGTATAACTCGTAAAAGTGATTTAGAACTTCGAATTGAAGCGTGCTGAAAAAATTTGCAATATCTTGGTTTCTATTTAAAGTAGCTTAATAAAATAATAAGAACTGCGCTCTTTCACGTGGCTTATACAACCACAAGGTCGACCTTACTTAAAGTATCTCCTCTTCAATACAACAAAGACAATCATGGAGATCCCTACCCTGGCTTACACATTGGCGCCCAACGTGGGGCCTGAGATGTAAGGTTGTAATCAGGTGGGTTATACCACTTTGAAATCCAAGATTGATTTGAAATAAACACATTTGGAGTATTAATTTATAATTAATATTATACATGGTACGCCAAATTTATTTAAAACCCATTTTGACCTTATATAACTTCTTTACTTTTGCTCCTATTTTATTGAAATTTGAAACCTATATTCATAGTGCATATTTAAATTAAAATTTACAAGACTAACAAAATAACTTGAGAGAATTCTAAGTAAGGGTCATTTTTATAAAGGCTTACTTTCAAGGTAGTTGCAACAGTCACCCTGTTAATATTTAGATTGAAAAATTAGCATTAAAAATCGTATTAAAATTGTTTAAATATTTGGAGCAAAATAAATGACACTCTGAAAGGGCGTACATAGTATTTTTATTAAATTTATTTTTTTATTTAAAAGGTAATACAAATTTTTTAGCCCCCATGGTTATTTACAAAACATAATAAATGCGGTAGTTCTCATAGCGAAATGTTCGGTTTACATGTAAATGTTTCCAAAACTAAAATTTTATTATTTTCAAAAATACCAACAAACGTACATTTGTATGCCAAGGGACAAATAATAGAACAGATAACTTCCATAAAATATTATCAACAGCTAGTGAAATAAAAAAAAAAGAATCGAACAAGCGAGGAAAACACTCATGAACATGAAAACATTTTTTACAAGATCAGACCTTAGTCTAGAGCTCAGAATTCGAATGATCGTTTTCTCTGTTTTGCTATATTGATGTGAAAGTGGAATAGATGACTTTGAAACAGAAAAACTAATAGATGCGTTTGAAATGTGAGGTACTTAAGTAAACGGAAATAATTAGTCAGCATAATTAAAGAGAGAAACATACAATACTTGAGTCATGTTTTGAGAGATGAAAGACATGAATTACTCCAAATCATATTGGAAGGTAAAGTGCGGGGCAAAAGATCATTTGAAAGATGCTACAACTCGTGGTGGAAAGATCTGAGGAGACTGTGTGACCGCTCATCCACATAAACCTTTCGTGCGGCATTTGGATCGCCAACTTTCGAAAGAAGACGGTGCAATAAGAACAAGGTGGTTATTTACTACAGTCTTCGACGCCACTGTCCAATTGATCGGGTAATAATTTCTTGGTCTATTGTAATCAACCGGGTTAAGATCAGGGCTATTTGGAGGCCACATGCTAGATTCGATGAAATCTGCAACTTATTCTTGCAAATATGTTAACATACTTTTGGAAGTATGGGATGCCGCACTATCTTGTTGAAAGGTGAAGTCGTGGCTAATATTTTCAATATCAGCAAGCATATTGCTTAAAATGTTTCTCTGATAAATTCATGAATTTATTTAACACCAGCGTCTACAAAATAAATTTCTGTTTTTCTCATCATTGATACGGCTATTGGTCCATCACTGAGGCGGAAAAATGCCTCCTTTGAACTAAAAGTAAATCTAGTGGTATGTCGGATTTCTTTCGAGCATCACAGTAAATTATATTGTTTTGGGGGTTTTTTGGTTGACGCAATGAAAAAATTTGTTCGGAAAACCAGATTTTTTAAATTTGGTAAAGCCGCCGTTTTAACCTGAACCTCCTTAAAGCCGCGTTTACATGATGACAATTGGCGAGACAATTGTCATTGGACAATTGTCATCACGTGGTTGCGGATTGTCGGAGGCCAGTCCAGTTGAACAAGAAGATGTTTATACGGGGTCAACTATTGCCATGTCAGTAGACAGCTAAAACATGGCCGACTACTCGTCATCTGTTGTGTCCAGTGAGGACTTAAAACTAATGTTACATCAGCTTTACCGGGAATTTATCAATGACTCTTGCAATGTGCCAGAAGAGGAGTTAAATGAGAAGAGAGAGTGGACAAGAAAATGGCTTTTAAGAAGAAACAGTCACGGTGCGTCATTTCAATTGCTAAGGGAACTGCGGACGGAAGATCCAATGGAATATAAAGCATGTTTAATGAACTTTTACAGATGGTTGAAAGTAAAATATTGAAAGAGGATACCTTAATGAGAAAAGCATTGTCATCCAAGCTAAAATTGGAAGTAGCGCTTTCATTCCTTGCTACATCTACTTAAAAGTGCCTTTGGTCTGCCTTGTCAGTGTTCCATTCGAGTGGCAATTATGAGAGCAGTTGGCAAGGTAATTGGCCTGAAGTGTTTAGACGAAGACAATAATTTCATGCCAGTCAATTGTCTTCTGACAATTGTCTCGCCAATTGTCATCGTGTAGACGCGGCTTAAGAGCGTAGGCGCAAAATTTCGGGCGAATGCTTTTTAAATGCATTCATTTTTTTCGAATCCTGAGAATAACTGTCTGCGTCTTTCAAATCTTTTATTTTATTCCTGTTATCTGCAGTTGTACGATCAATGTTTGTTATTTTTGATATTTTTCTTGAACAAATAACATCATTTTGCTCAACATTGTCAAGAATGTCCCTTACCATAGCCATATTTTCCTGACTTCTGTCAGTTTTTGTTTTTCCCCTCCCCGTCCTAATTTCATTTTAATGGAACCATCATTTTCTCTCAAATGTTTTAAGAAGTAACTGACTGTGCTCACTTGTCAGTTTAACTCTGGAAACATTTGTTTGATTTAGACTTTTCAACATTTTGTCTTTAATTGATGGGTAAACCATTTTTAATAATGACAATAAAAAACTAAATACAAATGTCTGTTGACAGTTGTTGTAAGCTACGTAAAACATCGGATAGTTTTTTGTTGGAACCAATTCGATCAAGAAATTATTAACCGATCAATTGGACAGTTCCAATTTCTGACCCATAGATTCCTTAAGTCATCTTCGACTTAAGTTCGAAATCTAGATCTTGGCCTGCCTCTCTTCTTGGTTCCTACTGGCTCTTGATATAATATCTGTCTTTGGGGGTCTCCAGTGTCCATTCTTTCAAGGTGTCTTAGCCACCTTAGTCTATACTAATTTTAATCAACCGGACGATGTTGCATTTTTCACAGCGTTTTTCCATAATGAATTAAGTTAATTTTTTTAAGTAGTTTTAATAAAAGTTAAATTATTAAAAGGTATAAGCTAAAAAATTTGTATTGCCTTTTGAATAAAACTAATTAATTTAATAAAAATACTACTTACGCCTTTTCAGAATGTCATTTATTTTGCTCCAAACGCTTACACATTTAATACGATTTTAAGGGTAGTTTAGGAGTTTTTTGTAATTATCTCGGTCAATTGTTTATGTATTTTAATTTAGACAGTCGCAATGTAAAGAACTTTTTGAGGTCTACAACTTTTATTTGAACCATTTTTCTCTAAATGTATAATAAACGATTTATAAGAAAAAAGATTTTGTCATCAAAAACAGATAAAAAAAACAAAGCACAATCAGCTGCATGCCTTCAAGGATTTGTTATCAGCTATCACTCGTATACCTGTCAGAACCATCAAAAATCGATATGAGATTTTTACATGAAATCGATTGTTTTTTAGGGTGGGCTGCTATTCTGTAAGAAAATTCCTTTTTAGCATTGAATTCCCCGGTAGTGCTTACACAAAAGAACGTATAGTAAATAGATTATCAGTACCCCATTTATTTGTTATTTATATCTCCTCTATCTATATAAGTATCCCTATCTATATAAGTATCCCTGCGTGCTTTTCCTGTTTCTCTATCTCGTTTTCATACTGCCATCATCTCTACTATAGAAGATCATGGATTCTGTTCTCACCATGACTATATTTCTATGTCATTTAAAAACTCCTTTCAAGTATTTCCTTAAGGCACTTAAATTCATGTTCTACATCCGTTCTAAATGACCCAGCAAGGGATCTTTTAGTTTACTGTTTGTTTGGATCCACCATTCTCTATTTTGATGTACAGTTTCGAAAAACTTGCTGAGTACTTTTATTTTCCTTCTGTATTTTCTACAGTAGATCGGGCGATATTGGATTCTAAGACAAACTTAGTTTACTACAGTGCTGTCAATGATTTTAATTGTAATAATATTTTTAATGTGTTTACAAAAAAAAAACTACCACTAAATAAGTCGAAAACGTGTTCATATCTGTCCCTTCCAGTAAAAATTTAAAGACTACAACAAATTTTAACACATTTCGTATAGTTTATCATTTAAACCTTTTTAGAAATCGGTTATTGGTAAACTAACCTTAACTAAAAACTGGTTTTGGAAGATATTTTTCCCGCCTAATAAAACTGGTACAACTAGAGAGTGCTCATTGGTGCAGGCTAACATTTTTTCGTTTGTAGAGTCACGAAGTTGGCATGAAGACCCTGGTCATGCTGGATGAACAGGGCGGTAAGCATTCTATTCATTTATTGTAACCTGCTGGGGCGAAATTCTCGAATTCGATGGAATCGATTGGCGTGAACGCGCTCATTTTAGCTACCCTTGCTATGCTAATAGAAAAGGACCGATTAGTAAACTAACCGAATGTTTGAAAGATTAGCTGGGATGCACGCTTCCACGACAATCCCTTTCGTAAACTTTGAGAATTTAATCTCAGACTTTAGGTAAACTCCGAAGGGTGTATTCAGATTGTACATACATGCTTTTTGTGAAATTATCAAATGCATTAGATTAAATGTGCCTTTTATTCTCGCCAAGAATAGTTTCTGGTAATTTAAACTCATAGATGCTCGCAATTTTGACAAATCTTATCTTCTATCCTAAAAGTACCAAGAGAAGAAATTCATAATGAAAAAGGAACGTTCTTAGAAATGTAATATTACTTAACTATAAGTTTTGCAGCATTAAGAGCTTTCGATATGGATAATTTAAATCATATAATATATCATATTTAAATAATGAAAAACTCTTGGGAAACTTCTTTGGGCAACAACCTGTTCAAAAAGCTTCAAAAGTAAATGATTAAAATATCATTAGAATAATAAATGGACTAGAAGGTTATCAGGATTAGAACTATTAGAAGACACTTTTAAGCATAAAAGGAGTAGTGTAATCCTAGTACGACGCCACTTAAGATTAATTTGTTAATAAATCCAAGTTTGATTCGCCAATTTGATCTGTTGAAGAATAATATCTATGCAAAAATATAATCTTCAAATATGAGGACACAAGTAGCAAATTAAGCCTATCTTTAAATGCAAAAATAGGATAGCAAATTTGAGCTGCTTGTTTGGAAATGATGTAAAAAGAGATTATAAAAATCAATGACGTAAAGAACAGACTTTTTATAAGTAAATATAGCATGCATGACAGTAAATATCTTCAAATGGCCTCAGAACCAATAAGTAGACTACATTTGAAGTCAGGATCAAAGTTTTGATAATGTAAGCATACGCTCTAGAGTGAAATCCTATCACTGCGCCAATTACAATCGAAAAGATTCACTGTAAGATGTTTTCTACCAAATATCAATATTTAAAAGTGTTGTAAAAGTTCTTGGCAAGAATAAATTTGTATAAAAATAATCCCTAAAAATATATGCAACATACAGGATGTTCACAAAAACTGCTAAAACGTTGTCGATTTTTAATACATATTTATTTTTAATTTTTTTAAATTTTGGTTTTTGGTTTGTGACGTCCTGTACAATGCGAAACTAAATAGAATCCAGCTTTTTGCGTTTATTAAATTCCTTTAAATAAAATAACAAAGATAATTATGAATGAAACTAAGTAAAGGAACTGACGATAAATCTGAAACACTCAAGTGAAAACCGATTGTTCCAGGATTGTTTCAGGGGTCTGTTATTTTATTTTTTATTTTTCCAAAAAAATAGATCTTTCATGTAAAATGACAAGAAGGGAATGAAATATATATTATATTAGAACCAAATAACTTTGTACTTGGCGTGGATCTTGTATGTTTTTGATATTTTGGATATTTTTGAGTTGAAACTCTAAGGGTGATGCTGTCGTTGAATCATGCTTTTATCATTAAAATCTTTGTTAGTAGGTTTTTTTCTTTCTGAAGTGCATTTTACTGGAAGTAGGAGCCAATATCACATAACACCACATTTATAAAGGATTCACACGATTTTCTGCAAAAACTAGCAGGAATAGATAGAATGCATTTAGCTGCAATGGAGCTAACTAGACAATGATTTTTATGAAAAAGATTGTAGATTAGTGATGTGCTTTTCATTATCTCTGTGCAGATATTTTCATGGGGGAATTTGAGCAAAATATTGTGTAAAAACACGTATAAAAATCCACAATATGGTGGAGATATCTAGATAATGTGTTCTTCATTTGGCTTCATGGACCAGAAGCATTGAAGATATTTTTGATGGACTTTAAATCTAAAGAAAAATCAATAAAAAAACCAACAAATCACTATCTTTTCTGAATGTTTTAACCACAAAGGAGGAAGAACACACACTCTAATGTGTGTTTATTATACACTGTCTTCTGTTATTCTTTTTTTGTTTAATATAATTTCTCCATTTGATTAACGGCCGACCTCCTGATCTTTCTGTAGGATACAGGGTGCGCCAAACCTCTGGCTTTCTTTTGTTACGGCTAAATTATTATATACTGATGTACATCAAAGACCTCTATAATTATAAAATTATTTTCGATTATACAGTGTCAGTCGGAACAACGGAATGAACCAAAGTTATGTTATTTTAAATGGAACGCCCTGCATATTTACGAATTTTTGCAGTATATTTTTTAAAAATATTAAGAACTTGTATATATAAGTTTTTATAGGTCTAAAGTTAATAATTTTCGAAATATTTACACTAACATCAGTTTCGTTATAAACATTTTTTATATACTCCATAATTTAGCCTAATAAAAGAAAGTCAGAGCTTTGGCGCACCATGTATGTGCTCACATCTTAGCTCAACAATCTCACGTTTGCTTGAGCCTAACCTAAATGATCCCAAAATATATTCCGATCTTAATTGGTATTTTAGATCTACCACATTTTTTTTTGCAGAGTTTATTAATATTATTAACTATCATAATTTTGTGAGTTTCACTGGTAATAATCTCTGTTAAACTCACAATTAATACTAAGATGGATGAAACGTAATATTGGTTTTGTTAGATTCCTTACATAAAAGACTTAAATGCGTTCCTGAAAGTTCAAAACTGTTTTTGGATGCGCTTATCGAAGACTTGGTCCGTTCATAAAAGCATCATCGGCATTTCTAATATTAAAAAGTAGTTGTAATTATGATAACTTTGCAGTTAATTATTAAAATCGTGTTAAGCTTATTTTTATGAGTGAAAGATCTATTTTTCATGATTTTTAGTTATTTTTTTGCGTCTGATAGAATCCTGGTAATGATCTGGTTCGATCATGTTACCCACTACCCACTAAACTGTATGAAATAGTTCACTCATAGAGAATTTAACCCACACCAGACGCCAAGCGTTTATACCATAAAAAATAATAGTGCCAAAGAAGCAATAATACCTAATAATAAGAAAGACAAAAAGTGTGCGTATTATTATAGCGTGTCTCGTATATGGCTGGAAAAATTGTAAATATGCAATAAGATATTTGACCCTTCTTCTGATGTTATTGATGTACACTAAAATTCTAAAACTAGATAATAGAGGGGTATTACACTATTCATGTTTAGAGTGATTGTTTATGTTTTATTTTATTGTGTTCAAACATTTTATCATTTTCACATCGTCCTTTAAAAGATTTTCATCATATTTAAATGGATTCCAGGTTAACGTCAGAAGTTAACATTCAATTACTGCCTCCAAGAGTTGCAGGTATTATCTGCAACATACCGGTGTGAGAAATATCCATAAAAACTAACTGAATTGTTTCGAAAGTTCAGATGTAAGAACTTATTGAATTGATTTCGGACGATAAGGCAAACACTCTTTAAAAACAGCTACCATAAAACTCAAATCAATAGGAGCATTCAAAAACTTTTAAACCCCATTTCATCCAAAAAAGAAACCTTGCCGCCTGATCAACCCAAAATCTTTCTACCTTTTATCAAATGTATCACTGACAACATCAGTATACCTCCTAACCCTCTAAACATCAAAACCATCTTCACTACTCACTCGCAAGTTGTCCAATTTCGTCAGATCCGTAAAAAACCAAATCCCCAATGAAGACCATGGTGTCTATGAAATACCTTGTTCCAGTTGCCCACGTTCATACTTAGGACAGACAGACCGACGAATCCATAATCGTATTTACGAACATTCTCTATCACTCAAACATTCCGATACTACTTCAGCCATAGCCCAACATTATATTCAGATAGGTCACAAAATAGATTTCGAAAAAGCAAGAACCGTCGCTCCTATCCGCTCCTTAAAACCAATTATTCGTGAAGCCATCGAAATTGGAAGACGCCCTAACAGCTTAAACAGGTACGATTATGTTAAAAGACTCAGCAACATTTTGACCTCTGCTTCAGCGACCCGCCGCGCCAACCGATTCCGCTCTGATCGTTTCCGCGCATACTGAGGATATAAAAGTAGCTACATAGCGTAAGACCGATCGTCACTCGACACTGAGAAGTTGGCAGATTGAGACCTCAGTGTCGTTTGACGGTATTTTTGGAGCACAAGATACTGGTACGTTACATGTGATGGGAGTAGGCAGATTGAGACTCCGAATTCGAACGGAACCATATCCCTATTGATAATGGTTCCAAAATGTGTGCCGTAATGTCCAGTTTTAAATTCTTAACGCGGTTCTTCCCGAGAACTTAGTAAGTTTTATTTTCCTGGCCGCGGAAATTATCCGATTAGGCTTCCGGTTGGCTTCCACCTCTCTGGCCCAACTGGTGTTCAAATCAATATTTTCACCAAAAAAAACAGATATAACTTTTCGCGTTAATACAAAGTTTTAACGGATTTACAAAATTGGGATATGGTTGCGGCCTCACATAACTACTGTCAGTAGAATTTTCTGAAATAATTGTCGATTGAAAATAGAACGCTTTTAAATATACGGTCTCCAAGGTCTACGTACAATAGCAATAACATGAAATAACATGTTAAATATTTTTTTTGTCTTGTTCCCGATTTTGAGCAAATTTCAATCCGAAATGCAATTAATTAAATTTAACACTCTATTAAGAATTATTAAATAACTAAGGGGTTTGTTTTCCTTATCTTATACCCTTGTTTGTGAAATTTCACACCCCGGTGGACTGAATATTAATAAGTGTCTTAGAAACATGGTAGTACTTACTATAGACTAGGCGCCATCTGTAGAAATTCAGACCATAATGGAAATTTTCGAGGGAAGCTATTTTTTTGCTGGAATCCCTTCAGGATATGCCCAGTATGGATAATCACGATATGCGCCAGTCGCAAACCCTGTGCTAAATTTTTTAT